GCTTGTTGATTGCTCCGGTCGCCGATCGCACCATCTCCAACAATCGATGTTGTCGGCAAGTCAACCTCGCCACACTGTCGCCATCCACAACGCTAACATTCGTTGATTCTCTTGTGCTACCCTTCACTAAAAAGCCTACAAGCGTTCAACCCATTCACGATTGGAAGAAATTGGAATCGATGGATGGAATCGGAAATCCACAACCAACAATCGAAACAATCGATTCAGAATCAAAAATCGTACCTTCAACAAAACAGAAGAACACAGTCGATACTTCAAGAGGAGTAAGCAATCGTGCCTTATTTCCAGGGACGGTGACAACAATAACCAACATCACAAACCAACACGGAAATTCACCCACCGCCACCGACAACAAACGGCGTCGCACCACCAACACCAGCAGCACCTGAATGCGTTCTTGGTTCTTATTGCTTCCCTCTCGAAGTAAAGTGGATAAATCGATTGTGGTTTGGAGTAGCATGGGTGAGACGGGGAAGATAACAAGAACAGATTTGGGAAGGAATTAGGATTTAATCAAAAGCTATAAGAGAAGCGGTGGATAGTCGGAGAGGCTTCTGGAAGAACGGTGGAAGCGGTGATCTTTGTAATCGAACCAGGTTAAGAAAAGAAACGAAAAAAATAAAATAAAATAGAAGCGGTCCAATAGGAACAGAGTACTGTTCACTAAGGTACCTCAGAAATAATTTTATAATAATAATAATAATAATAATAATAATAATAATAATAACTTTCAACACAATAATAATATTTGAAAATAAGTATTAAAAATGATAAATAAGAGGGTACCTGATCGTGATTTTCGAATTGTATGATATTCGTTTGCTTGTACAGACAAATTTAGTTTAATCTCAAATTAAGTTTTGTTTCCAAAAAAAAAAAAAAAAAAAAAAAGAATACCGGTTAAAACTTTGGAATATTCCTTTTTTGCCGGTTTCGTAGATTTTGCCGGTATTCCGTCTTTTTTTGTTAATTCGGTCAAAATAGTAGGACTTGTCTAAATAATATGTTATTTTTTAACCAATAACCAAAATATTATGATTTTTCTGAAGATTACCTTCTTTAAACTAATATATATTCTTATTAATAAATCATTTATAAACATAATCTTGTTATTTTATCTTTTTAAAACTCAATAATTGAAATAATGTTACAAATGAGTCACAACTAACTCAAGCTCAACATGACAATTTTAGGTGATTTTTAAAGATCTATTGGATAGTTTAGAGATTCTTTAAGGGACAATTCAAAAAATATTTATCAAATTTATGTTGATGATCGTGAGCTTGATTTAAAATTTTAAAAATTCTAAAAGCATATTTATAAAAACCATTTGAAAAAAAAAGACGAGGATCGTGTAATGTAACCATCATTTGAGGAAGAATAACTACATTAACAATCACATTGACTTGGAAAATTGTTAAAAGGAATACTAGAGTTCAAATCAAATACATATTAGTGTTCGAAATACCACATAAAACTAGAATTTGAAGTTTAAACTCATCTATAGTTTTCTATCCATTTTAATTTATAAATAAAACACATTTTTTATATTATAAACAAAAAAATATACTTGTTGCAAATTTTTAGGAATGCAAAAAATAGCACAATCTTAATAAAAAAAAATCTTAATATTTGAGTTATTGGTTAAAAATAACGTAATCTTCAAAAAAAATCGTAATATTTTAACCAAATTAATGAAAAAAACAGGATAATGGCTAAATCTGTGTAACCGGCCAAAAAAATTTATTCTGGAGTTTTAGCCGATATACTGACTTTCTTGTAAACAAAATTTAATTTTGGATTAAACCATAAATTGACATAAAATATTAAAACTTTATCAAAATTTTCTATTTTTTTTATAGAACAAGGAAAATTAAAAATAATGTCAACGGATGACTAGCAATATACAAGAGTATCAATTACAACACAACCAAAAAAAACACAAAAGAACTAAAGTTAATTAGGTTAAATCATACATACTTATAAAGCTAACATTTTTCCTTGAACCCCATGCATTTGAAACCCCTATAAAAATTTGCAAACACCTCATGCATTTGAAACCTCCTATTTTAATGAATACCACTCAAAAGTCTCTTAATAATGATTAACAATTCAAAAGTTTTATAACTTATATAATATATTTAATAAACAATTAATGGATACTATACTATAAAAAGGTCAATCTTTTTTAGTAGACACACAAATACAAATCACATACAAAAGTCACAAAGAAAACAAGTTTAAATTTTTTTGTGTTGGTTTGAGGGCTTTGAACAGTTTTTCGAGCCATGTTATTATGTTGAAGTTTTTTATTTGTAAGTTTGTTATATACTAATTCTTTTTTATATTTTCTTGATTTAAGTATTCTTTTAAGAATATAATTGTATGTTGTGGTTGAAATTTTAATGTAAATTAGATTACATTCATGTTATCAATCATATGTTATGGAAGGTGATATATATAATAGTTAATTAACTATTGTATACATGTTTGTATGTTCATGTTGCTTCAAAACAATAATTAATTAAAAATCGTGGATATGTCATATTATCCATGTAAGCCTTTTTTAAAATGCAAATTGTCAATCTTATCACTTTATATTTTAGTATATGTTTAACATTTTAATTATAATAATAAGTGCTTTTTAAAAGTTTCTTTCACTTATTAAATAATAACAAGTGGTTTTAAAATCAATAAGCAATAATTATAAATAATAAAATCAAATTACATGGATATGTCATATTATCCATGCAAGTCTCTTTTGAAATGAAAATTGTCTATCTTATCACTTTATTATTTAGTGTATGTTTCACATTTTAATAATAATATTAAGTGTTTCTTAAAAGTCTTCTTTAACTTATTATTAATAATAAGTGGTTTAAAATTAATGAATAACAATTTTAAATGATAATAACATCAAATTATAAATTACATTTAGCTATAAATAAATTGTATTTTAAATGAACATCATTATTGAATTAGAAAATGATCTCATAAGTAAAAATATAATTAATCAATAATAATAATTGTTAAAAATAATACTAAATACATAATTATATTTAATTCTATTAATGAGGAATTTGGGTTGATGTCAATGAATATTATTGTTCAAAATAATTGAGATTATATATATATATATATATATATATATATATATATATATATATATATATATATATATAAAATTTAGGGTAAAAATATTATCTCAAAGTTAATGTCAATAACATAACCATTTTAAACATATATTTTTCAATATTTTAACAATATCTTTTAATCTTCGCCGCGCAACGCGCGGGAATTCGTCTAGTAAATTAATAAATGCTTGTGTATCTATTTATAGTTAGAGAAAATTCAAGGATTCGTCCATGGTCCAAGTGCCAAATTACGTAATTAGTCCATATTTTCAAAAATTAACTTGGATCGTCCCTTATATTGTTAAAAGTTGTACGTTTCGTCCCTAAAATCGTTTACCAGACATGAGCCCCCACCCTCATATACCTCTTCTTCATCTCTCGTCTCAAAGACTTTATTCCCCCTTGTTCATCACCAGAAACCACTGCCGGAAAAAAGATTCCCGTCAGATCAGCCACCACCATTATTCCTCTTTACAACCACCTGTCGTCTCCCATTTCTTTCTTTTCTCATCTAAAAGGAAATCAATGTAGAACAAGAGAATTAGTGAAAAATAAAACTCCACCTGAACCCATATGCTTCTTCTCATTCGTCTTCTCCAACCAATCTACCAGTTGAAGGCATGGTGGCGGTGGAGGCTCTAAGTTGAAATACGCTTCATTATCCCCTCCAGATCCAGAAATCGAGGTACATATTTGAGATAATGGTGGCGTTCAGTAGTTCTGGCGGAGACTGTGGTGATGGCGAACATCAAAACTTGTGAGATGAAGAGATTAATTTTTGGTGGTCGGTGGGTGTGATGCATTTCTCCAGCACCACTACCCAAAGGAATTAGAGAGTCGATCTCCATCATACAGATCGACAGAGTGAAGAGCAGATCCACAAAGCTACAACCCATTTAAGGTTTGGTGAGACAATCTTCGGAGTTTTCTAGATGAGTTTTCCGACTGCCCCCCATTCGAACACCACTTGTCATTGCTCCTAACCTCCTATTGGAGTTCAGATCCTAACGGTAATGTAGAAACTTGGGGAGGATTGCAGAGGCAGAGATGGTGAAGACGAATGTGGTGGCATAGGCGACGGAGCTTGTGGCGGTGTTAGTGTTGTTGCTGATGGTTACAGGTGGGTATCGTGGTATTGTTGATGCTCCATCGGTGGAGATGATGGTGTTGGTAACTTGGTTTCCAGGGAAGGTAGACGTAAAAGGGGGAAAGGGAAGGGGATGGAGGGAGGGAGAGGGAGGGGTGGGTTGGGGTGTGGTTGGTGGTGGGGTTATTTGGTTATATATTTTTATTTATTTTTTAATCCAAAAAAAGATAAATAAATAATTAAATAATTAAAAATATGTATATTAAGGGCAAAATATTCATTTTGTATATAGGTACTGTCCGAGTGAAAAAAAATTATACAACGAGCGACGGTCCGAATTAATTTTTGAAAATAAAGACTAAAAGTACAATTTAACTCTTGGACCAGATACGACTCATGTAATTTACTCTTATTATAATTACGATTCAAAATTCTAAAATTTGTTTTGAAAAGAAAGTACATATTAAGACATTATGTGATGTTTGCATCATCGAATCAGTATTAAGATACATTTATATCAAAACTTATTTGGTATTTGCCAAATTTTCATCATTCTCCATTTCTTCGTTCTTTCTTTTTTTTTAAAAAATAAATAAAACATAATTCGTTATATTTCAAAATATTTTCATTTTTATAAAAAATATTTTGTTTATTATAATCGTTCGACCTTTCGGACTCTATAAATACACCCCCAACCCAATGATATTCGACATCCCACAACACACTCATACACTCTCCAAAAACACATACTAGAAAGAATGGCAATTGGTGGAAAGGCGACGTTGGCGCTACTCCTCTGCGTCATGGTGGCAAACGTCGTGGAGGGTGAGGTGGTGACCTGCCAGATGGTGGTCAGTAGCATAACGCCGTGCGTCGGCTACCTCACCAGAGGAGGTACGGCGTCACCCTCTTGCTGCAGTGGGGTAAACTATCTTAACAAGGCTGCAGCAACAACCCCCGACCGCCAGACCGCTTGCAAGTGTCTGAAACAAGCCGCGAACATGTTGCCCGGACTCAACCTTGATGCCGCTGGTAGCCTCCCCATGAAATGCGGCGTTTACATTCCCTACGAGATCAGCCCTGATACTGACTGCGCAACGTAAATTTGAATCTTATTATAAACTTTAACACATACCTATATATAAAATCTTACATATTTCCCTAGGCACTAGAACCGTTTAATTATGCATGCATAAAAACGTTTGTTAGTTATCGTAATACAAATGTGTTGCTTTATTTCGTCGTTGAAGAAGATTTTACAAGTTCTAATTCCAAATTGGTTACAGGGTGCAATGAAGAGGTAACGAAAGGAGCATGCAAGCACCAGTAGAACATTGAATAAGGTTGGCGATGCCGCGATGATCGCGTACTCGTGTCCGTCTCCAGATAGCTAGCTATCATGTACTCGCAGGATGTTAATCCTCTGGAAGTGTGCGTCTTGTATCTTTTTTTTTTTCGTTGGTTGTATTTGGTGCTTGCTCTTGTTTGTTACGTTCAATAAATCTCGTTTTTTTCTGTCAGAATATATGACTTGCAAAGATTTGTTTTGTTGGTGACAGTTCTAACTAATTGCAGACAAAATCAACTATCTCATCTAGGAAATACCCTACTATACATGGTATATTTTGCTAAGGGCATCTATAATTAATCCACCCAACATTTTTTAAATGAATTTTTACATCTTGCTTTTAATATAATTCTATCAAAAAAAATTGATAACGCATTTAAATTTTACAAAGTTTAATGTAACATATATTTAAGAATTTAAAATGGTTTATTTTTTCAAGAGTTGCAGTGAACTCAATATCGAACAAAACATGCATCCTAAATTTGTAAATTTCAATTAATTGAATGTCAATTGATCAGTATGTCATTTTATTCGATTCTTCAATAAAACTATATGTTATTGATGGTCGAATGAAGGATAGGAAATAAGTTTGAGTGAAATAGTTTATAATTTATGTAATAACTCATGTAACATGGATAACAATAAGAAGTTCAGTTTTCTTAAGTATTAATTAATACTAATATTTAGTCCCCTCGTGCAGAGAACTTCTTTATAAGGTGGAATACAAAAATATAAAAATAAAGTTTTAATTCAAACAATTATATATCGAAGAGACGAACAAAAATAAAGTTTAAAAGTGTATATTTGTTAGTACAATACCACAAATGACAAGTAATTGAGAAATTATAAGAATAAAAAGTAATATTAATAATAATGAAAGTATACAAATAAATGGTAAATTACACCAATCGTCGCTCGTGCACATACCAGAAAACGTGTTTAGTCCCTACTTTAAAAAATTAACTCGGACCGTCCCTCATATCTTAAAAAGTTGCACGATTCGTCCCTAATGTCGTAAAAAGACTAATATACCCTAATCTATTACCTTTTTCATTTTTTATTATTATAATTAAATTACACTAGTACATAAATCATTTAATAAGGCAATGCCTTTTTATTTTTTGATGCGGTCTTATTTAAAAACCGCATTATTAAATACACATAGCATAAAATAAAATAAAATAAAATAAAAAACGAGAACCGCATCAAGTAATCGATTTGTTGGTGCGGTTTTGTGGAAACCACATTATATGTTTTTATAAAGTTATCTTTTGCTGCCATACATCTAAACCGCACCATTAAAAAGGATTTTTTTTGGTGCGACTTGTTGTAAAACGCACCATTAAACTATGATCTTTTGGTGCGATATTTTGAAAAGCGCACCATTTAATTCCTTCTAAAAAATTTGTTAAAAATTTTCATTTCACACGAGATCCCTCCAAATTTACAAATATCGAATCCCTCCAAATCTTGACTCCTCATTCTAATATAGATCTAAGAACACGCCCATCTTGATTATTGTAACTACTCACTCTCTCACTTCCCTTGCTACAGGTTTGTTGTTGCTTCTTCAAGCTTTCAAGATGAAAAAAAAGCTTCTCCATACTGAAATACATGTTCTCCTCCACCTGTACGTAAAAGCTCAGAAGTTCTTTGTGATGAATCATGTACATTTCTATATGTTTGATGGAATCTAATCTACCCTTTTGCTGATTATTGATTTTATGTGGTTTGTTTGCAGTTTCCTACCAAGATCCACCTCCTGTTCATACAAATGATCCTCCCATAGGTAAAACTTTACCACTTTTGAGCATTAGGCTTGTAGCTTTTGTGCATATTGATGGAATCTGATGTATTTATGGTGTTCTTTTTGCAGTGTTTGGCCAAAATCCATCGCGTGCTCTTGGAAGTTTTGAGCAATGTATGATCTTGTTATCTATGTATATTTGATGTACCATTGTGCTGATTGTTACTCGCTTATCATGAAGAACACATAACGAGATAAAGAATTTTTTATACACGTTTGAAAAGGAAGTTGATTCATATGGTTATTGACCCAATGATACATCGTTTTTGGTAGAGTTATTAATTGGAGCTGTTTTAATAGTTTTTTAGTGCGATTTTGGATTGTTCCCAGATTATTTGTTGGTGCGGTTTTGACTATTATTTGGTGCGGTTTTATAACCGCTCCATTAAATAAGAGTATTTTTTGAGGCGATATTTGTTGATGCGGTTCAATAACCGCACCAAATAATTATTTTAACCGCATCAACAAACGCTTTCTGTACTAGGGTTATAATGGTTCTTCCTTTCTTCCTTGTGTCTAAAAAACTGAACTCTCTCTTCTCTCTGTAGAAATTTCCGACCACCACTATTCCACATGAAATTACTAGCCACCGTCGCTCCACCTCTCCCTCTCTTGTCAAGTTCTGTCGTCGGAAGCATCTTCAAAGTCGCCGCAAACTCTTACCAATCAAAATCAACAGAAAGGACTCCTTGATGTCGAAACCTTCAACTCCAACTGTTTTCATCTCTCCTTCAAAACCTGCAACTCCGAACGGTTTCACCAAATTCATTTGCAAGAATCGTTTGCAGATCTTGACTCCAACATACACATATGCAAGAATATAGTATGCAGATCTTCTCCAGATGTTATTTTAGAAATCGTTTTATGGGTGATTTCTATTCACCGGGGTTCCATATTCGTTTTTCCGATGATAAGGATTTCACCGATCTGTTGTTCGACGACAAGGGTTTTACCAAATCTGTTCGATCGGAGGCGTTGTTGAAGAAGGAGAAGGAGCAGTTCAAGGATAGTGGTTGTGGGGAAGACATGTGCAACTTTCATTTGAGATTGCAGCAGAACTGTTGAAACCACCGCCACCGGAAATAACGGTCTCTCTCAGACGAACACCGGCTCCATCTCTGTCTCTCTTACCCTCTTTTTATATTTCTCTGCTTTGGTTGGTATTTGTACATGATGTGGTGGCCGACGGTGGTTGTCACACCCCAAAACCGGAACGGCGGAAACGTTCGGGGGTGGAGGACGTCATGTTTAGTATCACAAGATATGCATTATAGTAAGCAAGTAATGAACAACCATTTCATTTGAAAGAAAATGTTTACAATGTGTGTGTTCACAAAACATAGAATTCATAAGCAAATAACAAAACAAGACTTGAAGCTATAATGCTCCATCTTCTGAATTCCCAGCACGAGTACCTGTCTAATAGGCTCCTGAGAATACAAGTTATTTGAAAGAGTTGATCAGCAATTAAGCTAGTGAGTTCATAAGATTTTAGTGATGTAAGTAAGTTGTAGAAAGTTGTTGAAAAATGTAGTTGAAATGTAGTAAGTTATAAGTTCTGTTTTTAGAAAAGTTCGCCTGTTCCTCTAGAAAATCCTATATTTCCTACTTTGATGAAAGATACGTAAAAATGATTGTACAATCGTTTCTATGAGTACTAAATGGATACAAGTTATATAAAACTCAAAGTAAACAAACAATCGACTGTGCGCATCTTCCCTAAGCCCACAACCAAGCAAGGAACAGGAAGTAAGGCGGATAGCACAAATCCCATTGTTTGTTAGATCATTGTTGTATATAACTCTAACGTATTCACTTGTTACTCATGGAGTTAGTTGTATTAGTTCCTTTATATTTAATGAAAAGATTCTTTAAGAAAACCCTTATTTCTTATAATAAAATGGTGACCACAGTGATTACTTCTATAATCACTTAGTTTATACTGGCTATATATGATCTAATATCGAATAGATAGTTAATTGGGTGAATCTGCCCTAAGCCCACAACCAAACAAGGAACAGGAAATAAGGCGGAAAGCACACATTCAACTACCTGTTGGGTATTAATGATATATAACCATGATGTATAAACTCAGGTATCATAGAGTTAATCACCTAAGGTCCTTTAAGTTTATCCTGGTTTAATAAAATGGATTAAACCCTTAACTGGTAAGTTTCTAGTTTTGTATACCAAAAGTTCTGATTTCGAAAGTATGTTTTGTACTAGAAAACTGTGCATTGACTTTGTGTCCTATGACTTGACCCATACCTGGTACCCTTATGATGACTTAATGTATACTGAACATATATATATCTAAAATCGAATAGATAATAGACTGGGTGAATCTGTTCCAAGCCCACAACCAAACAAGGAACAGGAAGTGAAGCGGAGAGCACACATCCTATTATCTGTCGGATCCTATTATATATATATATATATATATATATATATATATATATATATATATATATATATATCCTTTGATGTATACATTAAGAAATCATAATTTAGCATTATGGTCCCTTTCTACTGAAACGTAGCCTTCTACCAAGGCATCTACTGTTATGTGCTAGACTCGACTGTTCTGTTTGTCGTTTGTAAAAATGTAAGTTTTCCCTAGTTTATAACTATCTTAACTCGAAAATAGTTTGCATTTGACTTTCAAGTGGTACTGTCACTTTATGAAAGTAATGGGAAATGTAAGTACATAGTTGTCGTTTATAATGACATGCGGATGTACTGATGACCTAAAACATGTTTGTTTTATTATGGTCATAATGTGAAGGCTAGTACCCCTACTGAACGCTCTCCCTGTGTAGAGATTAAAGGAACCAAACGCGACCTCTGCAAATTCTTGCAAGCCGTATAATTCACATTCAAGTTATATGATCATGTATACCCAATATAACTATCACCTTTTGTTTAAAACAATGAGTTAGTGATTCATT